CCTTTTTTGAATAAAGTTTTGCGGTCTTATATTTAATTGTTTAGGACTAGAAATTATTGATTTGGACTTATTGGATGGTACATTATTGGTTTTTAACTTATCCATCGCTTCCAATATTTCACACCTTTTTTCTAGAAATTCGGAAAATTGCAGGAAAGTAGGTACTGCCTTGTCTAGTGTTGCCTGCCATTCCTTTTTAGAGGCATAATCTAATTTTTCGAATACAATTTGGACCAAAATTGCGTCCCACTGATCGACCGGTAAATTTAACACCTGTAAGGCCGCGACATTATTGGAAACTGTGTCGATAATTTCCCGTAATTCCTTGTGCGATGATTTTAACAAGCTGGGTATGTTTAAAATGTTTGTGATATGTTCCTGAACAATTAATCTTTTATTTTCAAACCTTTTTTTGTAGAGTTTCGATTGCCTTGCTGTAGTTTTCGTTGCGGACCGCCAATGATTCGATGGACCGCAACGCCTCATCTTTTAAACAACTACGCAAGTAGTGGAATTTGCGGATATTTGATATGTTCCCGTCATTGTGTACTAATGATTTAAATAGATCAAAAAACGAGAACCATTCGCTATGTTTGCCATCAAAGGTAGGCAGTGGTAAAGGTTTCAAATTTACGCTATGTTCATTGGCTTCGAGTTTATTACAATCATTATGTATGTTAATAGTTGTAGAGTTAGGGGTTAGCGACGGGTTCGACGTCGCCGGACTGTTCTTAATAATTATGCCTTTTATTTTACCTAAAGTTTTATAGTATTGGTTTTCAACCGAGGTACGTTCCTTGTCATTTTCTGATTCCCAATACGATTCATTATGTTCCGCGTCTACTACCTGAACTGACTCTATTTGATTTTGGATATTATTGTACTCCTTTAACTTTTCTGTCAAATCTAACAACCTTGCATCTAATTCCGGTACACTATCGTCGTCTTTTACATTATTTTGTATACGCGTTATGGCAGCCTTTATTATTTTACGCTGATTTTTTAACTTCGTAAGTTCGGTCATTTCGGAAGACTACAGACGCGCAACGACAAAGGTAAAACTTGAGCACAGGGCGATTGATACGTATAAGAATTTACAACTGTATGATTTTGAGGGATAGAAAAAGGAAGGATCTGACCTTTTGATGATTTGATCTGCTGCAACCTCTCGATGATGATCCGCTTCTGGGATAAAATCAGCCGACCTTTCGATGATTTGATCTGCTGCAACCTCTCGATGATGATCCGCTTCTGGGATAAAATCAGCCGACCTTTTGATGATTTGATTTGCTGCAACTTCTCGATGATGATCCGCTTCTGGGATGTTGGCTGCTGCAATCTCTTGATGATGATCCGCTTCTGGGATGCTGGGTGCTGCAATCTCTTGATGATTATCCGCTTCTGGGATGTTGGGCATGTGTCTCGATTTACGATTTCGTGGAGTTCTGGATCCGCTTTGAATATCGATTTGCCGCACTTATTCACTTATTGTTATACCGCTATTCGGGCACTGGTTCGGATATTCGGCTCGAATTGACCAAAAATGTTTGTGATTATTTAGAATTGGTTCGAACGACCAAAATGAACAGTGCGACCGTTGTACTTGGGATTTATTCCAGAACTCTTACTACATGATTGTGTGTACCGGTACCGACTAAATGGGGTGGGTGGGACACACCCCCACCTCTCACAACCCCAGGTACCTTGTCTTTTCTTTTAAAGTGAAAGCTTCTCAGGGGTCCCAACAGTCTGTTTTAAAAATGTGAAACCTTCTCGGGGAGCCAAATGTATTTTTTTTAATGTGAAACCTTCTCGGGGGTCCAAAGTGTCTTTTTTTTATGTAAAATATTCTAGGAGGCCCCAAATGTATTTTCTTTTAATGTGAAACCTTCTCAGGGGTCCCAAGTATCTGTTTTAAAAACGTGAAACCTTCTCGGGGCGCCAAATGTATTTTTTTTAATGTGAAACCTTTTCGAGAGTCCCAAGTGCCTTTTTTTTATGTAAAGTCTTCTCGGGGGCACCAAATGTCTTCTATTTTAAAGTGAAACCTTCTCAGGGGTCCCAACGGTCGGTTTTAAAAATCTGAAAATTTCTCGGGGCGCCAAATGTATTTTTTTTTAATGTGAAACCTTCTCGGGGGACCAAAGTGTCTTCTTTTTATGTAAAATTTTCTAGGAGGCCCCAAATGTCTTTTATTTTAATGTGAAACCTTCTCAGGGGTCCCAACTGTCTGTTTTAAAAACGTGAAACCTTCTCGGGGCGCCAAATGTATTTTTTTTAAAGTGAAACCTTTTCGAGAGTCCCAAGTGCCTTTTTTTTATGTAAAATCTTCTCGGGGGCCCCAAATGTCTTCTATTTTAAAGTGAAACCTTCTCAGGGGTCCCAACGGTCGGTTTTAAAAATCTGAAAACTTCTCGGGGCGCCAAATGTATTTTTTTTTAATGTGAAACCTTCTCGGGGGACCAAAGTGTCTTTTTTTATGTAGAATCTTCTCGGGGGCCCCAAATGTCTTTTCTTTTAAAGTGAAACCTTCTCAGGGGTCCCAACTGTCTGTTATGAAAAGATGAATCCTTCTCGGGGCGCCAAATGTATTTTTTTTAATGTGAAATCTTCTCGGGGTCCAAAGTGTCTTTTTTTTAATGTAAAATCTTCTCGGGGGCCCCAAATGTCTTTTCTTTTAATGTGAAACCTTCTCAGGGGTCCCAACTGTCTGTTTTAAAAATGTGAAACCTTCTCGGGGGTCCAAAGTGTCTTTTTTTAATGTAAAATCTTCTGGGGGCGCCCAAATGTCTTTTTTTTTAAGTGAAACCTTCTCAGGGGTCCCAACAGTCTGTTTTAAAAATGTGAAACCTTCTCGGGGGTCTAAAGTGTCTTTTTTATGTAAAATCTTCTAGGAGGCCCCAAACGAATTTTCTCTTAATGTGAAACCTTCTCAGGGGACCCAACTGTCTGTTTTAAAAATGTGAAACCTTCTCGGGGCGCCAAATGTATTTTTTTTAATGTGAAACCTTTTCGAGGGTCCCAAGTGTCTTGTTTTATGTAAAATCTTCTCGGGGGCTCCAAATATCTTTTCTTTTAAAGTGAAACCTTCTCAGGTATCCCAACTGTCTGTTTTAAAAATGTGAAGCCTTCTCGGGGCGCCAAATGTATTTTTTTTAATGTGAAACCTTCTCGGGGGTCCAAAGTGTCTTTTTTTAATGTAAAATCTTCTCGGGGGCCCCAAATGTCTTTTCTTTTAAAGCGAAATCTTCTCAGGAGTCCCAACTCTCTGTTATAAAAAGATAAAACCTTCTCAGGGCGCCAAATGTATTTTTTTTAATGTGAAACCTTCTCGGGGGTCCAAAGTGTCTTCTTTTTATGTAAAATTTTCTAGGAGGCCCCAAATGTCTTTTCTTTTAATGTGAAACCTTCTCAAGGGTCCCAACTGTCTGTTTTAAAAACGTGAAACCTTCTCGGGGCGCCAAATGTATTTTTTTTAATGTGAAACCTTTTCGAGAGTCCCAAGTGCCTTTTTTTTATGTAAAATCTTCTCGGGGGCTCCAAATGTCTTCTATTTTAAAGTGAAACCTTCTCAGGTATCCCAACTGTCTGTTTTAAAAATGTGAAGCCTTCTCGGGGCGCCAAATGTATTTTTTTTAATGTGAAACCTTCTCGGGGGTCCAAAGTGTCTTTTTTTAATGTAAAATCTTCTCGGGGGCCCCAAATGTCTTTTCTTTTAATGTGAAACCTTCTCAGGGGTCCTAACTGTCTGTTTTAAAAATGTGAAACCTTCTCGGGGGTCCAAAGTCTCTTTTTTTAATGTAAAATCTTCTGGGGGCGCCCAAATGTCTTTTTTTTAAGTGAAACCTTCTCAGGGGTCCCAACAGTCTGTTTTAAAAATGTGAAACCTTCTCGAGGGTCTAAAGTGTCTTTTTTTATGTAAAATCTTCTAGGAGGCCCCAAACGAATTTTCTCTTAATGTGAAACCTTCTAAGGGGATCCAACTGTCTGTTTTAAAAATGTGAAACCTTCTCGGGGGTCCAAAGTGTCTTTTTTTTAATGTAAAATCTTCTCGGGCGCCCCAAATATATATATATATTTTTTTAAATATGAAACCTTTTCGGGGGTCCCAACTGTCTGTTTTAAAAATGTAAAACCTTCTCTGGAGTCCCAACTGTCTTTTTTTAAAATGTAAAACCTTCTCGGAGGCACCAAATGTATTTTTTTTAAATGTGAAACCTTTTCGAGGGTCCCAAGTGTCTTTTTTATGTAAAATCTTCTCGGAGACCCTAAATATCTTTTCTTTTAAAGTGAAACCTTCTCAGGGGTCCCAACAGTCTGTTTTAAAAATGTGAAACCTTCTCGGGGCGCCAAATGTATTTTTGTTAATGTAAAATCTTCTCGGGGGTTCCAAATGTCTTTTCTTTTAAAGTGAAATCTTCTCAGGGGTCCCAACTGTCTGTTTTAAAAATGTGAAACCTTCTCGGGGCGCCAAATGTATTTTTTTTAATGTGAAACCTTTTCGAGGGTCCCAAGTGTATTTTTTTTTAATGTAAAATCTTCTCGGGGGCCCCAAATGTCTTTTCTGTTAAAGTAAAACTTTCTCAGGGGTCCCAACTGTCTGTTTTAAAAATGTGAAGTCTTCTCGGGGCGCCAAATGTATTTTTTTTTTAATGTGAAACCTTTTCGAGGGTCCCAAGGGTCTTTTTTATGTAAAATCTTCTCGGGGGCCCCAAATGTCTTTTCTTTTAAAGTGAAACCTTCTCAGGAGACCCAACTGCCTGTTTTAAAAATGTGAAACCTTCTCGGGGGTCCAAAGTGTCTTTTTTTTAATGTATGAACAGTATTTGTTGGACTGTACTTCAGAAACCAGGGAAGTTCTGTCGAAATAACTTCCGATAAATTTTTTTCTACATGTATCAAAAACACCCCATATAATAAGTTTTCAAGCATCTTATAAATGCCAAATGTCTAGTGGATCCTATATTAATTTTGGGGCTACAGCTACACAAACACAAAAGTTTTTGTACGTGTTTATTTTTTCACCAAAGCAAAACACCTAAATTCCCGTATTTTCCCTAATCCAGTCTCTATGGTAAGCAGTCCTGGTATTTCCTGCTGGAAACGGGTACTCGCACCCATAACCGTTAACAAAACTGAAGACGGCCACATGTAGTGGATCCGTATCGGCATTAGCCACAACAGGAGCTCCACTGTCACCAAGACACGGACTTTTGAGTGGATCTCCAGTGGCAGTACAAACCAATCCAGGATAAACGATCTGGCTCCCGTAGGTTCTCACACAATCGCTGTTCTCTATAGTGGAAACGTTGATGTAATAGAGGGTTTCGGCGTACGGATCTGGATCGTCTAGAAAATAAATGTGATAATGTAGTGACATGTAATATCATTCAAGAAAACACACTCACTATCACTTACGCTACCCCACCCACTTACTGTGACAGCAACATCAGCCCCAAGTTCATCTTCAGCTAAAGCGATTGCTTGAATATTGTCTAAAAAATGTCTAGTGAATGTCATATCTTATCATATTAGAGGTATTATTACCGTTAAAGGTTACAGGCTTATCTAACTTTATCAGTCCGATGTCGTTAGTCAGGTACACCCCGTCGTACTCTTCGTGTAGAATGAAAGTGGTAGATTGAGACACAGTTCTATTGGGGGAGTCTATTTTCACTGATCCTGAGTAAATAGTAGCCGATCTTGCCCTGTTAACATCACACTATACAACACGACTAGAGATCTAAAATTATTTAGTACCCGTCTACGCAGTGCCCAGCAGTTAGTACCCATTCATCGCTAATCAAGGCACCACCACACAGGTACAAGGGAACAGCAGCTGATCTTCCCATTATGGCCACCTGCCATGGTAGCTGTCCCTCTTCAGCTGCCTCACCATTTACAATTCGAGGCCCTAAAGACAATGTTGTGTGTACAGACGTTACAAATTTTCCACTCACCAATGTCCTTAACAGGTACCGGCTTAAGCCCATCTAAAGATGCAGCCCAAATTGAAGAAACAGACAAAAGTACTACCAAGAAACGCAACATTATGGTGATTAAAGTACTATCGAGCAGTGATGGCCTACTGTTTATATAGATGCTACTTTTGATTCATCTAATACTCTTCTAACGTAGGTTAGATAAGACCGTAAGTAGACTAAGTGTGATAACAATTTTTGGATGAAGTGAGAATTAGCATGTATTGAATGGGATTAGAGTCGAATGATGGATGGCTAGTCATGCTTGGAATTAACCATCTATTTCTAAAAATAAATCTATGTTATTTGAAGTTGTGCATTAGTTAGTTATTCTGGGAGGAATGATTCGAATGATTGATTAACCTGTCAATGGAAAGTTTTATTTTATTAACAAATAATTGTTATACACCAGTCACAGTTTTAATCCAGTCCCTGTAATAAGCAGTCCTTGTAAATCCAGCTGGAAAATCAGGATCTTCGCACCCATAAGTACTCAAAAAGCTGAATATAGCGACATGGACAGGATCAGTATCTGCATTAACAACAGCAGGGTCACCACCATCACTCCTGCATGGGTTTTTTACGGGAGTACCAGGATTAGTACACACTACGCTGGGTTGTACCACGTCTGGTCCATAAGCTGCTACACACTCCTCGTTGTCAATGGTGTTGACGGTGATGTAGCGTAGTACAGTGTAATTTTCACTATGATCGTCTAAAACATACTTTGTCAACTTTGACAATACTTTCAAAGTGGTACCCTACCGTCGCCGGTACTTCCCCACCCAATCACAGTAACTTCACTTCCAGAAGCTAGTTCATCTTCAGCTAAAGCAATAGCTTGAACAGTATCTAAAAGTATATTTTTTGTATTTTTTAATTAACTTTAAAAGCTTGATTTGCGTACCACTCAAAGATAAAGACGAATTGAGATGAACCAATCCAATATCGTTTGTCAGAGTAGTGTTGTCATAGTTGTTGTGGACAACATAGTCCATTGTTATACTCAAACTCGTGTTCTCAACGTCGTCTAAGTTTAATGTATCATAAAGAACTACAATTTCGTCGGCACTAAAAAAAAAATGAAAGTGGTACTGTTATTTTGTTGTGGTACTTACTCGTATATACAGTGTGCAGCTGTTAATATCCACGACTCACTGATAATGGAACCAGAGCAGTAGTGAAGTTCAAAGGCTCTAGTGGCTACAACTCCCACTTGCCATGGAAATTGTCCTTCTTGGGCGACCTCACCGTTGACAATCCGCGGCCCTAAAATTGCTAAAATTACACGATCAACCATACAGTTTCCTATTTTAATTGTACTTTTACCAGCTTTGACGGCCACAAGGGAAGTTAGATACACACAAGTGGCAAACTGAATGTATTTTCTCATTTTTGTAGTCTATGTGGTTACACAAGTTCGAGTATAATTTTATACTTTTTATTATCTGATGCACTTATTTTTGAGTGCTATTATGAAATGAGAAAGGTTTTGATAAGCTGTGGTGGAAATGTTTAAATTAATAACATGATAAGGTTTTCTTGGGAATAAGAACGCACTCAGGCTGCTATTACTGACGTCAGTTTTCAAAATTTTTGCGTCAGTGCTCTTAATACTAAAAAAAATAATATTTTTCGAATTTTTTGTCATTACTAAAACAAAGAAATAAATTTTAGTTTTACAAAGTCGGGTTTTATTTACCACGGTAAGATATAATGAGGTGGAGCACCATCGTGTTGAAAACCATTTTCCGTCCGCTAGCACGACTTGTCAAATTAATGCAATGAAAAGCCACCCCTAAAATAACTGATTATGCAATCAGTGGAGCAGATAACCAAGGGAAAAATACTTTTTGAAAAATCGGAAAATCAAAAATTTTAAAAATCGAAAAACCAAAAAATTGTAATTCGATTCTAAATTGAAATGTTGCAAAACTGAGAAAGAGAAAAGTAGAAAAATTTTAAGAATCGAAAAACCGACATGTCGGAAAAACGAAAATTCAAAGTAAGCGAAAAACTAAAAAATCGAAAAATCGAAATATCAAAAAATGTAAAAATTGAAAAACTGAAAAATCGAAAAATTGAAAAATTGAAAAATTGCAAAATGGAAAAATTAAAACAACTGATAAATCGGAAAATTGAAACATCGAAGAATTGATAAATCGATAACTACAAAACTCAAAAAATCGACACATCGAAAAATTGAGAAATCGAAAAGTCGAAAAATCGAAAACCAGAAAAATAAAAAAATTGAAACATCGAGAAACTGGAGAACTGACAATTCGAAAAATTTTAAAATAGAAACATTGCACAATCGAAAAAGTGAAAAATTGATAAACCGAAAGATCTAAAATTTAAAAAATCGAAAAAGTAAAAATTTGACATACAGAAATCGAAACATCAAAAATCTAAAGAATCCAAATTTGAAATATTAACATTTTGAAATATGGAAGAAATGATAAATCGATAAATCTAAAACTCCAAAAATCGACAAATTGAAAAATCGAAGAAAAATTGAGAATTCGAAAAGACGTAAAATCGAAACCCGAAAAAATTAATAAAAGAAAAATTGAAAAATTGGAGAATTGAAAAATCGAAAAATTAAAGATTTTAAAAAGCGAAAAGTGAAAAATTGCTAAATCGAAAAATCTAATATTTAAAAATTCGAAAAATTAGAAGATTGAAAAACTAAAAATTCGGCATATAGAAATCGAAAAATTGAAATATGGTAAAATTGATAAATCAATAAATCTAAAAGTCGAAAAATTGAAGAAAAATTGAGAAATAGAAAAGTCGAAAAATGGAAAACCGGAAAAACTAAAAATAGAAAAGTTGAAAAATCAAAAAATCAGAAATTTGAAAAATTGAAAAATTGAAAAATTTAAAAATAGAAACATTGCACAATCGAAAAATTGAAAAACTGAAAAATCGAAAAATTGAAAATTTGATATATCGAAAAATCTAAAATTAAAAAATCGAAAAATTAGAAAATCGAAAAAGTAAAAATTCGACATATAGAAATCGAAAAATCGAAAAATCGATAGACAAAAATTTGAAGAATTAAAATTTGAAAAATCCCAAAATTGAAATATCGAATAATTAGTAAATGGATAAATCGAAAACTCGAAAAATCGAAGAAAAAATGAGAAATATAGACGTCGAAAAACCGAAAACCTGAAAAATTAAAAAAAAAATTGAAAAATTGAGAAATCGAGATATCGAAAAATTAATAAATCGAAACATCTAAAATTTAAAAAATCGAAAAATTGGAAAATCGAAAAAGTAAAAATTCGACTAATAGAAACCGAAAAATCGAAAAATCAAAATCGAAATTTGAAAAATCCAAAAACTAGAATTTGGATGAACTGATAAATCGAAAAATCGATAAATTGAAAAATAGAGGAAAAACTGAGAATTCGAAAAATTTTAAAAAAGAAACATTGCGCAGTCGAAAAATTGAAAACTTGAATAATTGAAAAGAACAAAAACTTGAAGAATTGAAAAAAACTCAAAATTGTAAAATTGATAATCGAAAAATGTAAGATTAAAAAAATCGAAAAATTAAAAAACCGGAAAAGTAAAAATTGGTTAAATAGAAATCGAAAAACGAAAATTTGAAGAATGCAAATTTGGAAAATCGAAAAATTGAAAACCCGAAAAATCGGCATATGGAAAATTCGAAAAAAAATTAAGACATCGAGAAGTCGAAAAAGCAAAAACCGGAAAAATTAATAAAAGAAAAATTAAGAAATTGGAAAACTGAGAAATTGCTAATGCGAAAAATTAAAAATTAAAAAATTGATAAATCGAAAATTCTAAAATTGAAAAAATCAAAAAATTAGAAAATCGAAAAAGAAAAATTCGGCATTGAAATCGAAAGGTCAAAAATGTGAAGAATTGAAATTTGAAAAATCCCAAAATTCAAATATCGAAGAATGGGTAAATGGATAAATTGAAAACTCGAATAATCGACAAACGGCAGAATCGAAGAAAAAATGAGAAATCGGAAAGTCGAAATATCAAAAACCCGAAAAATTAAAATAAGAAAAATTAAAAAATCGAGAAGTGGGAAAATTTATAAATCGAAACGTCGAAAATTTAAAAAAAAATTAAAAAGTAAAAATTCGACATATAGAAATCGAAAAATGAAAATTTGAAGAAGCGAAATTTGAAAAATCTAAAAATTTAATTATAAATTACAAATCGATAGATCTAAAACTCGAACAACCGACAAAATGAGAAATCGAAGAAAAATTGAGAATTCGAAAAGTCGAAAAATCGAAAACTGGAAAAACTACAAAAAAATTGAAAAATCGCAAAATTATAGATTTAAAACATCGAAAAATTATAAAATCGAAAAAGTAAAAATTCGGCATATAGAAATCTAAAAATCGAAAATTTGAAGAAGCGAAATTTGAAAAACCCAAAAATTGATATATGGAAGAATTGTTAAATCGATAAATCAAAAACCCGAAAAATCCACAAATTGAAATCCAAGAAAAAGTGAGCAGTTGGAGATTTGATAAATCGAAAAATCGAACAATTTTAAAATGGAAACATTGCACAATCGAAAAATTGAAAAATTGGAAATTCGAAGAATCGAAATTTGAAAAATCCCATAATTGAAATATCGAAAAATCGACAAACGGAAAAATCGAAGAGAAAATGAAAAATCGAAGTCAAAAAATGAAAAGCCGCAAAATAATAATTGCATTTATTAACGCCAATAAAGCTATTACAGAGTAACATAAAGAAAAAAAAAAACTACAATAAACTACAATAAACAGAAACGCACAACTTACATTCTAAAATAAATTCCTAAGCTGGGACTTAAAAACTTTAAAACTCACACGTATAAAGTAAGGTTTCTTGCATAGAGAGACGAATTAATAAAGCTTGTCATGGTTTTATGGTATATAACTAAAAAAAAAATCAAGCAATTTAAAAATAGAAACAACGCACAAACGAAAAATTTGGTAAATCGAAAAATCTAAAGTTCACAAAATGGAAATATGAACAATTCGTCATATTGAAATCGAAAAATAAAAAATTTGAAGAATCGAAATTAGAAAATTCCCAAAACTGAAATATCGAAAAATTGAAAACTAGAAAAATCGACAAACGGAAAAATTGAAGTAAAAATCCAAAAATCCAGAAGTTAACAAATAATCAGAAACCCGAAAAATTAAAGAACAATTGAAAAATCAAAATATTTAAGAACAGAAACATTACACAATCGAAACTTTGAAAAATCGTAAAATTTAAATATCAGAAAATTGAAGAACTCAAAAATGAAAAACATTAAAATTCGAAAATTTGAAGTAACGAAATACTTATTACAAAATCTCAAAACTGAAATATCGAAGAATTGATAAATCGATAAATCGAAAACTCAAAAAATCGATAAATTGAAAAACCGAAAACTCGAAGAAAAACTGAAACATCGAAAAATTCAAAAATCGAAAACTGGAAAAGTCGAAAAACCGAAAAATCTAAAATTTACAAAAACCGAAAAGTTGAAAAAAATCAAAAACTGAGGAAATGGGAAATTGATTAATTAAAAAATGAAAAAACTTAGGAATAGAAACACTGCACAATCGACAACGTTCAAAAATTCTATAAATTGGAAAATTGAAGAACCGAAAAATCAAAAAATCGAAAAATCGAAAATTTTAGGAATCGAAACATTGAAATATCTCTAAACTAAAATATCGAAGAATGGATAAATAGATAAATCGAAAAAAAAATGAAAAATTGAAAAATTTAAAATCGAAAAATCGAACCGAAAACCAAAAAAATTCGAAAAGTTGTAAAATTAAAAACCTGATAAACAAAAAAATGAAAAATCGAAAAATCGAAGGATCGAAAAATAAAAAAAAAACCGGAAATTTGAAAATTTGAAGAATTGAGGAACCGAAGAATCGATAAATTGAAAAATCTCAAAATTGAGAAATAGAAAAACTGAGGATTCGAAAGTCGAGAAACGAAAAATCTAAAAGCCGAAAAACTGAAAATCAGGAAATTGTGATACCATATTCATTGAATGTCTGTCTGCGTAATTACAATTTGTAATAAATATTGAAATAAGCACACATGCGCAAGGCGGAAATGAGGATTACTTCTTTAGCGTCATCATTCAAAGAATACGTTATCGATTAGCAGCGTTACTACAGTTTTAAGTACTTTTAACAAAATAATGCCACGAACTTTTCAATGATTTTCGTTTTATTTTTAAGTACACTTAACGCATATGAGTCATTTAAGACAGAAAATGTATGAAGCAAAATACAACTTGTTTGTAGAGACATACCTTATCATCGATTTTCTTTGAATGTCCAAAGATAAATGTATCAACAATAATTTCCTTTGAGCTAGAATAAACACTATTGAGATAATGCAAAAGTATATAAAATCAAGTGCTTATTTGGAGCACTCAAACCACAAACAGAATGAAGCAGAGTACTTTCCTTGTAGTTCTTGTATTGATGACTGTTTTTACAGCATTCGCTGCTAAAATTAAAGGTACCTAATTAATTTTATTAATTTAGGTAAATTTTTACTGTTTTATTTAATTTTAGAACCACGAATCACCAACGGGGACGTAGCTGCAAAGGGTCAGTTTCCATGGCAAGTCGGTGTTGTAGCCACCAGAAGCGGTTGGATAAATTACTGTGGAGGTGCGCTTATTAGCCAAGAATGGGTTTTAACAGTCGCACACTGCATTTACGAGTAAATTGTAAAAAAATCTACAGAATTTATGTTAAAAATGCCGCGTTTACAGAGCTGAGGCCGTTATAATCATCTACGACACTTTAAGCTTAGAAGATCCGAATGCCAATGTTAAAAAAACAGAAAAGTACATTGTACATGAATCATACGACAACAAAACGCTTCAAAACGACGTTGGATTAATCCTGCTCGACGATCCATTACCAGATGGTAAACATCATACGTAAATTATTTACAGTTCAACTTTTAAACGTCCACAATTTTTAGACAAAGTTCAAGCCATCGCATTAGCTGAAGACGAACTGGAAGCAGGGACTCAAGTAACAGTAATCGGTTGGGGCCTTACCAGTGATGGTACAGCCAAAATTTTATGTCGATGCAAAAATTTCAACAGTATGTATGATTTTAGATGAAAGTGAATTTTACGATGTTTTGCGCTATATGACAGTTCCTACTATCGATAATGAAAAATGTGCACAAGTGTATGGGTTGGACGTTGTGCAGCCTAACGTGGTGTGTACGGATCCTGGAAATCCGGTGAAGAATCCTTGCAAGGGAGATGGTGGAGATCCGGCTATAGTGGATGTTGACTCGAATCCGACTCATGTCGCTTTGTTTAGTTTTTTGAGTACGTATGGGTGCGAGGATCCTGATTTTCCGGCGGGTTTTACGAGAACGGCGTTTTATAGAAAGTGGATTAGAGATTTAACCGGGATATAGCCGACATCTTATGAATACTGGAAATTATAATAAATATCAAGCCATCTCAACTTAATAATAATAATAATAATAATAGTTTATTGTCTAACAGAACAATGTTCCAATAGAGACAACAAATAAAATAAAAAAAAAAATTATGGGTTATATTTGTCTTAAGGGGACTCGCTAGACGAGGCAACATTTTTTTGGTTTTTTGTATGAAAAAATGATATTAATATAGATGTATCATACATCAAACTGCAGCTTTTTTTATATTCTAGAGCGCAGAGACCAGTTCAATCAATTAAAAAATATATGGCTGAGAAATATCGTAAAAAACAGACCATAGTATGTTTTCTTTTCAAGTTTTTTGAGTCATAACCATCATAGAATCGCTTGAAAATTCGCACATGGATAAAACATCACTTTTTACAGGGCGCAGAGTTACTAAATGTTTGTTAGTGGTACAATTTGTTTAAATAATAATGTGTTTATTAAAATCAAAATATGCCACAAATTAATGCAAAATACGTCGAATAATTTTAACAGGAATATCAGAGGAAAATTAATGATCTGTTGGTTAGCAGAGTTTTTAACAAAAACTAACAATTATTGAAAAAAATGGGTATCAATTCGACAGAATTTGAGCAGTTAGTTCAATACTTTGCCGATAGGAGCGTCACTAAAATTTACGGAAGCGACTTTCCAGGTAAAACCCTTATCGCCTGCTCTACCATAAGTTGATTGTTAGAGTTCTCGGCTGATTTTTCTAATTTATGGCAAGGAACTCAGTTTTATAACAAGCCGCCAGGACCGACCGTAGTAATCTATTGTTAAGGAAATTAACTTTTACGCAATGAGGTACTATCATAAAACCGAATTAAAACTGGGGAACTATAATATTTTTGCTCCACTCAGGATCCTGAATTCAATACACATGATTACTAAAAATTCATTGTAATATTATTGTCAATATATATTTTGCTTTGTTAATTAATAAAACTAATAAACATATTTATAATAATAATAAAAAATATATAAAATACAGCTTTTGTTTAACACGTATAAGTAGCTAAGTGTATCTACTACTTATCCCAGAAACGAGGTGTTTTAAAATAGCCCTACGCCCAGTAACTTCTCCCTTCATTGTTTACTCGAAAAAAGTGCTCGTATATGTTTTCATTTGCCGAGAGATCATTTTCAAAATATATTTATAATAAAAATATGCAAGTCTTGGTGATGAAAAATGTACTCCTAATAAATTATTAAAGTACATAAAAAAATAGAAACAAATTTCATTTATTTTAAAAAAATCTCTCGCAAAGGCAGGTTCCTCTTTCTTCTTGAATCAATTATTTCGGGCAATAATGCGCCAAAGTAAAATCTGCCAAGTGTTTACACATATTTCTTCGTCTTTATAAATTTTTTCTATATACATATTCTATGTCCATACAACAAAATAAACTTGTGAAATACCCGTAACAAGCATTTGTGCCTGGACTTGAAAGTAGTAATCATGATTTTTTTTTTAGTTTCAATTCTCTGTCTGTCAATGTACAAAATTTGATTATTTTTTTTCTAACCGCTTCTTCGAGAGACAAATCTTGCGATTTTGAAGGGCATTTAATTTCAACTAATGCACTCCTATCCTCTAGAACCCTGTCTGGACTAACAGCCAAGTAAGGAAATTGTTGTGAAATAAGCAAGCCACACCGTTCAGTTTTTATATTTTTATTTATTTCAAAACATTTACAGTTTTTCCTCACTTTGCTGTCCGTAGTATGTATGACTATTACCTCTAAATGTACTGTACAACAGAGACTCCACAGTTTTAGCTATTGCTGTAGTCGGTCTAAGTTTGTATACAATACGTCCAAAATTTGAAGCCGTAACCATAATTTCTCTTTATTTTGCCCAAATGTGCCTGTTCCCTAGTGTCTATTTCAATTTGGTCTAAATTCAAAGATAATTTTCTCAAAAAAACCTCTTTGGCTGTCACAAATGTTTCTACATCCATGACAGGATTTTCTAAACAATATTTAAACCATAATCGCAGTCGGGACCAGCATACGTAAATTTTTTTACGACATATTTTTTTTACGAATACTTTGTCTAAGACGAGCTTGTTTTATAGATGAACAATATTTTTTTGTTATTAAACCAGGACCTTACTTATCCCCTCTAAAAATTGATGACGTCACCTCAAAATTTTGCTGAATAAATCCTATCTAAATTGTATAAAATGTGATGAGTCTCTTCTTGTGATTTATCATTCCATTCATGTTTTTTGGATTTGCATATACAGGATGACCCCAAAAATTAATGAATGCGTAAATTTATTTTATTGATTTAATCAGGAACTACAGAACCCAATGCTTTGAAATCTTGCAAATGTTTTAAGGTTACAAAGAGCATAATCAATTTTTAGTCAAAATATATTTGCTTATCCCCTCCAAAAAATTGATGACGTCAGCTCAAAAGTTTGCCGTATAATCTTATTTAAAATTTACAAAATATGATGAGTCTCTTCTTGTAATTTATCATTCCATTCATATTTTTTGGATTGACTCAAAAAATTTAATGAAAGCGCAAATTTATTTTATTGATTTAATCAGGAACTACAAAATCGAATGCTTTGAAATCTAATGTGAAAAAAACATAGGCATGCAGTCGTCACGTTTCCGATAGAGAGGGAAGTACTGTCTAAACTCTTTAAACCAATTTTTTTATTTTTCCATTTTTCCATTTCTCAATTTTTCAATGTTTCAGTTTGGAATTTTTTCACTGTTTCGATTCTTTAATTTTCCTTCCATTTTCAGGTTTTTCAATATTTCAGCTTTGGAATTTTACAATATTTCGTTTCTTCAATTTTTCAAATTTTTGATATTGTGTTTTCTCGGTTTTTAAATTTTTCGATATTTTAATTTTTCAGTTTTTAAAGTTTTAGGTTTTTAGATTTCTCACTATCTCGACTTTTCGATTTTTCAGCTCCATGATTTTCCAATTTGTCGAATTTTTAGATTTTAGATTTTTTGTTCTCGATCATTCAATTTTCTGAGTTTTCAGGCTTCGATTTTTTTTGTTGTTGATTTCTTGGATTTTGTTTTTTAAATTTTCCTATTTATCAACTTACTGGGATTTCAATGTTTTGATTTTTTGATTGTTCAATTTCTCGATTTTTTGAATTTTTGGTTTTTGATACGATTTTTTTTTTTCAAAAATTTTCATTTTTTCAATTTATTAACTTTACGATATTTCAGTTGTACGATTTTTAAATTTTTTTATTTTTCAGTTTTCAATTTTTGACGTTTCTAAATTTTTCGATTTTTCAATTTTTCGATTAACTGATTTTTTGATTTTCCCATTTCTCTATTTCTTGATTTTCCAATTTTTTCTTCAATTGTGATTTTTCAATTTTTCGATTTCTGGATTTTTCAATGTTTCAGTTTTGGATTTTTTCACTTTTCCGATTTTTCAATTTTCTTTCCATTTTTCACTTTTTCAAGATTTCAGTTTTGAATTTTTTCACTTTTTCGATTCTTCAATTTTCCTCCCATTTTTCAGTTTTTCAGTATTTCAGTTCTGGGATTTTGCAATGTTTCGGTTCTTCAATTTTTCCATTTTTTTATGTTTCGATTTCTCGGTTTTTCAATTTTTCGATAGGTATTTTAATTTTTCAATTTGTAAGTTCTAAATTTTCCATTATTCGATTTTTCAAGTTCTCGGTTTAGATTTTTTGGTTTTCCAATTCTTCGATTTTTAAATTGTTTAATTTTTAGATTGTTCAATTTCTCGATTTATAGATTTTTCAATTTTTCGGTTTACCGATTTTTTTCATTTAAAATGTTTCAATTTTTCAATTATTAAGTTTTCGATTTTTCAATTTTGGTGTAATTTGAAAACGGTATTAATAATATATTTAGGCGAATAAACTAATAAACGGGCTTGATAAGCCTTATTTGCTCTACAGTGTCTAAATTGTGTTTGAATAATATAATAATTATCTCGAATATTAAAATTAATATGTCAAAAGAATACGAGAAATGATTATTCTGCGCTGAAGGTATGTTGTGGGCCGCCTGTCTATCCCAACGTTTCAGGTAGATTTAAAGACGAATTGCTGGTTGCGTTTAAGGCAACAAATGGCGCCCAATTCAAGCTTGTCTCTTGTCTAGCGTTCCCCCTTAAATATGAATTGAATGTATTTTTTCTTCAAACGTCAGAAATACGGGTCATTGCATACCTCAATTGATAAATACAAAGTCCCACTTCACTGCCTTGACAGGAAAAAAAAATTCTGCTTAGGCTGCAAAAATTTTTTGCTGCCGCTGAATCAACCAATGAAATTTAAGCCTAGCCGTCTTATGTGTTGATGTTGATGTTCTCACTGTTACTAGTGTTTTGTGCTGCCAATGTCAATCACAGACAACTGTCATATGTCATTTGTCACAATTCAGTCGGTCAGAGTCGAAGATTTGAATTATAACTGTCACCTAAATTAACCAATCATCATGCACAATCAAGAATAGTCATAATAATATAAAAAGGTAAAATTTTACAAAGGGCACTTCACGATTTCGCACAAACTGTTTGCACACAACTCTTCTACAGCACCCCCTGAACACGTTCCTCACCTTCAAATGTTGTAGAAATGCTTACTTTTACCACAAAAAATTGTTAAATTTCCCACAGTCTTCAATGGGAAGCCGTTTCCAACATAACCTAACTTTTTATAGTCAACAACACGCGTACATGTAACGTCGGGTATTTAGTGAAGGCAGGGCGCTTCGCGCCCTGCGCCCCATTGCAAACATACCCCTAAACGTGGCACTTCTTGCCCCGTGGATCATTGTCATTGGAATTCGTGCGAATTCAACTATGTGTGTAGTTGGTTGCCTACATGTTGCGCAACTAATAGGGTGCAAACCATAGGGCGAAAGGGGCGAACACTAAATATTTTTTTGTGACACAAGGAAGCATTTCCACAACTTTTGAAGGTGAGGAACGTGATCGGGGGTGATGTACAAGAGTTTTGCATAAACAGTTTGTGCGAAATCGTGAAGTGCCCTTTGTAAAATTTCACCGAAGTAACAACATTTAAAATATTATAAAATGATAGTATTTGTAGGAGTACGTGATGGAATCAAAGGTATTTTGATTGCTAGAACTTGTCCTCTACAGATTTTAAAGGTGGCATATTTAGGTGAA